TTCATTCCATGGAAGAACAAAGCACATAGACATTCGTTTCCATTTTATTCATGATTTGCAGGCAAAAGAGTGATTGTATTAAAGTTTTGTAACACAGATGAACAAGTGGCAGAGATAACGGCTTTATCATGTTAAAAGCGTGTCTACTCCAGATCACTACTTGGTGTGTGCAATTTTGAATCAAAGGGGAGTCTCGAAAGTTGATTCAAAAATTATCAAAATTTGACTTAGTCTTTGATATTTATTTTTCGTGCATATTCTTACTCCTTAATTCACTTCTTTTTCTTTTTTCTTTTTTTTTTGTTAGTAAATAAGTTTGAAAGTAGTGACAATAATATCTGATATTAATTGAGATTTTTAGCTTTTCACTTTGCGCGTAAGTCTATATATAGGCATCTTTAGTTCTGGAATAAAACAAGCAGTCGATAACAATCATACTTTGCAATTCTGAGTGTTATTTCTCTCCGCAACTTCATTTTTTCAATTCTCGGCTACTCTAAATTCCCATCGGAATTTATATTTAAACTTGATGAAAATACAATTATTATTATTATTTTTGTCTGAAATTGGTGTATATAAAATATCTAGGGCTTGGGTACATTCAAATCTGATGAAATTTTGATGATTTTTTTGTTCGAAAATTGTTTTTAGATTTAATTTTTAATCTACGATTTTTGGTTTTTTATTATTTTGTATTGTACAATTTTAGGTATTTTATTAGGCTTGTTAGTTTGTAGGTACTTTACAAATTAATTTTGAGTCTTTTTCAATAATTTTTATCCCTTATGCTTGATACTTATACAACAAAGACACATTTGTTGGCCTAGATAATTTTAATGACAACCCCAAATTGGAACTCAATAGAAAGTGGACTCAACAAATTGAAGTTTTGGGTGGACTAGAGTTGAGGGTGGGCCCTAGAACTGGTCTGCACGAAAAATTTATATCTAATGATATTTATCAATCTTATTTTATAACATTACTCCAAATATAATGCATCTCAGTTTGTGACCTCTTAGCATGTTCTAGGCGTGGAAGTATATATTATTTAACATATTGGCATACCAGTTGCCAGACACAAACCCGCACCAACGCCGGTCCCAATCGTGCACCAGAATCATGCCCACCATATCCATACATGTATTGGCAGCTCCAACATGACTCACACACCTTTAGTATTTTTGATTTTTTTATTAGAGCAAGAGTCGAGATGCTATGTTATCGTTTCAATTCTCCTTATATTTCGCACCTTTGATCATAATTAACAAGGTTGAAACTTTTAGAAAAAGGTAACGTGTAAAGGAGTTGATGATACTCACATGCTTAGAGAGCATGTCAAAATAATTTGGTAAGATGATGAAAGTCGCCATTCTTTCACAAATCGAGAAATTGTAACTAAAAGTTTTCATCGAATAAGAGACTAACAACCACAATGACAATATAAAATTGTATACAGGATTATGGACTGTGGTTTTTTGAACTTGGAATGCACTTAAAGGAGCATAGAATTTCTAAACGGATCCCAAAAATTAAGATAAAAACATACAACTTTTTTTCAATTGAAGTAAAGTCTTCATGCCCACATGCAACGTGCTGCAGAATCCTAGGGACTTTATGTTCATATTTGATTATACTTTATTGACCTTTATATTTTAATAGCACACTAAGATTTAACTTCGAGCTTTTAATTTCAAAAAATATCGAGAAACATACTTTTCGCTATCTTTGTTTTGACGTTAAATTATTTTGGACGATGTTGTGTGTGTGTGTATATATATATGATAATATGAGAGATAGAGTGCTTATTCTTATTAAAAATAATTTAAGACTTATTTGGAAATGATTTTTCAAAAATTATTTTTACTCAAACTAATACCTATAAGAGAAAAAAAAATCTGAAAACTATAAGGTTTTCTTGGCCAGCCCAAGAAAGATACGTAAGTGTAGCTGAATAATAATAAAAAATATTGACCGGTCAAAAAATAATGAATAAATTTGAAGCCGAAGAAACAGGTGGCCGGATGATCTCAGCTTCCCATGCCAACAAAATTAGACGGCAAGGATTGAATGTGCGGGTTGAGTTGGGCCGGTAGCTAGACGGTTGACGTCAGGAGCGGTGGCTGGCGCTGAGGCAAGGTCCGCGTGCTGATCAATTGAATAATTAATTAATCACTTATTTTGACTAATTAATTAATTGTTTATTATTTTATGATTAAGTTAATCCAGCTTGAATAAGTCGAAAGTATCGAGGTAGGTTTGTCATTATGTGGAGCTTAATCTGTCATTATCTAGTTTTAATTAAAATAATTATTAAATTATGTTTGTTGGTCACATGGAAGGATGCTTCTGATTCCTTGTAGTTGTGGGCCGGAATGACAAATTAATTCTCTAAATCAATTCAATTACTCATAGAATCTCAGTATTAATTTGTTTTTCGTGCATCAAACGTGGTGGAGGTAGGGGTAGGCTATGTGGTGTTTGATCCCAATCATCAATTTTTCCACCCGTTTTAGGTTTTTCTAGGAAAATACATACGAACTCTACTCGATAGAAAAAGATAATCGAATATGTGTTGACGTGGTTTGCGTCTTGGAAGCTCAGTTTGACCACGAGAAGATATAAGGGACGTGGAGTATGATTCTATTGTTTACTTTTCTCATATTGAATTACTTTAGAAACGCTTCTCAAATTTTCGACATTTTAATTTTTATTCAAAATTTTTGAATATTCATAGAATTAACTACCATTTTTTAACGTAACTTTCATTTTTATTATCGATAATATATTATTGGCGACGTGTTTTCTAGTGACCAAGCAAAATGCCATTCATATGTGTTTTGGGTGAGAGAAGTCAAATTTGAACTCTTGAAGAATGGTAGGAGTTTATTAAAATGGTCTTCTGAAGAATTTCAAAGCCATCGACATATAATTATTTTGCTAGCGAGCACGAGATTGTCGTAATGTCCCGTCAGGTAAAAGAAGGACAAAAAATTGAAATTAATTTTAAAAATGTGTGGCTATAATTTATAGGTATTTAAAACGTTTTAATTTTATTTGATAACAAAATTATTTGCTAATTTGTAAAAGCTAATATAATTTTATAGTTTTGGAACAATTTTTATTTATGTATTTTTATATTTTTTTCAGATTAATAATAATAAAGAATATGCAATTACATGATATACGTTGAATAAGAATTAATTAATGATTAATTACCCAACAAACATGCTCTTAAATACATTTTACCAAATGATGACATTTTATTTTATACTCAAAATAAAATATATTGGTTGGAATTGTAGCAACATTTAGAGGAAGCTAGAAGTCAACCAATTTTCACTTTATATAAACAAATTCTCTTAAAAATAAACATAGGTCATACCTTGTGTTTAGAAAACAAAATTCTTTCCAAAGCTAAAGAAAGAATAATTCTATATTTTTTAAAATATTTATGAACATTTTTAAAAATAAACTAAATTAATAACTCACAATTCACTTTTAAATTGCTAAAAGTGGAATAAGGGTTCGTCTACATATATTTTTACTGTTATTTATTTATTTATTGTGAAGATTTTGGACAAGAAAGATTCACTCATTTTGGTTTGCTCATAAAAACTACCTGAACTTGTAATAATTTTGAATTTTGATTCAATAAAATAAAAAGTAAGAAAAATAAAATTAATCTGATATTAAATTTTTTAGAAATCTTAATTGTAGATGAGGACGAAGATGATATGAAGTTTTGAAATCTAGTCAAAGGAAATAGTAACTTGTACAGCGTATCATGATAAATGACGTGTGTGTGAAGCTTATATTAGAAGAAGTTAAAGACGAGTTTTACAATAATATCTAACTAAAGCTTTGACCATGTAGTTACAAGTCACTTCATCTAAGTTATTGAAGCTAATTCACGAATTTTACAATACCTAACTAAATCCATGACCAACTTTAATTAAGATGTTTAAACATTTGTTAAACCTCAACACATAATTATACTTTGAACTGTTTTTATATTTATTAAAAACATAATGTATGGATGTGTCAAATATATATATATATATAAAGTTCAAGAATCAATCTAAACTTGCTTGATATGAAATAATAATATAATTTCGATTGACAAGAGTGAAAATTACTATGTGGAGAAATTGGAATAAAAATAATGCAGATAAAATAAAATAAAAAAAGAAAATTATGTCCTTGTATGAAGTTGATCGTTTAAGAAGTGATTTTTCTAGAAGACGTACGATTAAAAACTAGAAAAAAGTACAAAAAAAAAATAAAAAAATTATGATATATTATTTAATGAGTTTAAAAATAATTTTTAAAAAATAAAATTTGATTGGGGGCTATGTAAAAGGAGCAGAGGTCCCATTTTGTAAGTGGCGTCCGAAAATTGCGGCTACTTGCCGCTTTTTAACCTTTTCATCACTTATTTTTTGAAAATTGATTTTTTTCACAACTAATTACTGCACAGATAACATGCACCTGACAAGACAGCAATAGGCCATAGCCAGAGAGAAGTGAAGGAGAGAACAATTATAAGCTAAAATATAACTTAAAATAATTAAAACTGTTGTGGAGATTTGACTCTTTTGATGTGAATGTACATTATCGACCTGTTTAAATCGCATTATTTGAAAAAAATATATTTTTAAACAGTAATTTGATATCATTTCAATCGTTCATTCTTTAATAAAATAATATTATACTTAAATTTAATTTTTTTATTTTTTAACCACACATTCTTCATTAATCTATTATTCAAAAATACAATAATTTAAAAATAAAGTTGCTCTAAAACACACTATGGAGGCGTTTGTTTCCCTTTTTTATAAAGTTAAGAATGAAAAATTATAATTATTATGGACTCCATATAAGAAATAGATGAATAACGATTATATTTTTTATTTTAATGAAGAAATAATGAAAAACAAGCAGGCTATTTTAAAAATCAACCAGCTCAAAACCCTATTAGATTAATAACTTGTTGCGGATGGAGAAGATCAGTTTTATATCAAAAGTCAGCGACTCTCTCTCTCTCTCTCTCTCTCTAACTTTGCCTGTTCCAATTCTTAGAACAAAGTTTTAATCTTGAAATAAATTCTTCTTTGCTCCTTGTGCATAACCCAATCAAGAAATACTTTAGAACTTTATGTTTTTCAAGTCTGGGAGGCGTAAAATAATCCAAACCGAAGAGGCTAACAAGACTGTGTTGTATTAAGTATCATGTGCAGTCATTTCTTGGAGAGAATGAATAATTATCAAGGTGATCTAGATGATATAATCCGAGCTGGCGGTGGTGGCATGGGGAGCAACACCTCTACTTCAGTTCCGACGCTTCCGGCTGACTGGAAACTTCCCAGCAATCCCTTTAATTTTTCTTCAGGAATCGAAGAGTTATCGGATTATTTTGGGAATCCATTTTCTAGTATGAGAGATCCATTCCTTCATGATACAGATACAACTGCATCAGGGTTCTTCAACAACTCAAATTATTCTATAGATACTGGCAAGCGAGGGACTGGTGGTGCTGGTGCTGGAGGTGGAGGAGGAGATGGTGGTGGCGATAGTATTCTTGGTAATAAAATTGTTGATGATGAGATGAAAACTGGACCTCCCAATATCTTCTCAAGGATGCTTCAGATCTCTCCGAATGAAAAGTCGCTGGTATTCCATCGCAATTCTTCGGCGGTGTCTACCGCCTCTCATGGAGGATTGAAGGCCACCGCAATTTCTGGTTCAGTATCTAACGATCACATGATTTCTCCAAATGGCTCCAAAAGTTGCTTGGTGGAAAGCCCTGGTGTTCAGATCTCGCCTCCGCCAAACACGGCTATTAAACGAAGGTGAGATTTTTCTTCTTAAACCATGATGTAACTTTCAAATTCTTATATCTTATGCAACAGCACCTAAAGGAAAGCATATACTTTCATAAATTAAGTTTAAATAATCCGAATTTTATGGAGATTAACCATATAGATTTCACATGCCAAAGTTGAGGGTTCCCAAATAGGGTTTTGCAAAAATAAGTAATCCGACCTGAAAAAGTAAACTAGAATTTGTCAGATCGCTTTCATGTTATTATTTGTAACCACTGTTCAAACCCCACCTGACTGGGTTTTTGTAGTTTCAGTCTTTGATATTGTTCATAACTTTCAGTTTTCCAAAAAAAAAAAAAAAAAGAATATACAAGTCTAAGGATAGAAAAAAGGAACATTAAAGTTCTGATTTTGATTCGATATCTGCAGGAAGAGTCAGGCAAAGAAAGTAGTTTGTATACCAGCTCCTGCGCCAGCGAACAACCGGCCTGGTGGTGGAGGAGAAGTTGTTCCGTCTGATCTTTGGGCATGGAGAAAATATGGACAAAAACCTATCAAAGGTTCTCCTTATCCAAGGTAGTTACTGTCATAATCCCATGTTAAAGCATTTGTTTTATGTTCCCTTTTCTTGAAAACTCTCAGAAAACCTAAAATATGCGGACATAAAACCCTTCTGTCTGCAAGAAATTTATCTAATATTGAATTTTATGTGTTCATTTTTATTTTTTTTTCATACTTTGTCTTTTGCACGCAAAGGTACTTCTTATGGAAAATCAACGGTATTGGTTTTCTTTTTCCATAGATTAGGTATGTATTAAAGAATGTTTCTGAGCCCAGTAAAATCGCTTAGATATTCAAACACCCTATCAACGGAAAATGATGTGTTGGAATCACTCTTCATAGTGTACATTTGTAGTGCCAAACCCTCTTGACCTGAAACAACGGACTTGGAAAGAGATCCTTGTCTACTATGGTTCTTAGAAAAAGTAACACGTTTATTTATTTTATTTAATTTTCACAGTCAACGGGTTTTTCGGTTACTCTTATTTGAGTGTTCAGATTTTTCTGAATTCTTGTTTCTTTTAAAATTCGATATTCCAGGGGTTACTACAGATGTAGTAGCTCAAAGGGTTGTTCAGCAAGAAAGCAAGTCGAACGGAGTCGGACTGACCCGAATATGCTGGTAATCACCTACACTTCCGAGCACAATCATCCATGGCCGACTCAGAGAAATGCACTTGCAGGCTCCACAAGATCACAGCCATCCAAGAACAATATCCCAGCTTCAAAAACTCGACCAAATTCTGAGTCCCAACGGGCTAAAAGCCCAAACGATGAAGAAACCGGAAAGCATTCAGAAAACGTAATTTCATCACCAGTGGATATAAAAAAGGAAGATCTTGATAACCATTTTGAGATAGATGATGCAGAACTATATGAAGGGTTTCCTTCACAGAGTTATAGACCAGCATTGCTGGGTTCAAACCAGTCTGAAGATCTATTTGCAGATTTGGGGGAAATAGAGGTTGATCCTTCGGATCTTTTATTCATGGATGGATTTTCAGGTGATGAATTAGGGAGAGAAAACAAGGCACTGGATCCGTTCAGTTTCTATGACTGGCCAAGAAACAACAATAATAGCAACTGCATCACAACATCATATGAAGAACCTAAGAGCCTAAGAGGGATTCATGACGACGACATCCTTAAACAACAGTTTGATTAGCTGCAGTTTCATTCAATCTTTTCTAGTTATTTTTACCAGAAAAATTAGGAGATCAGGTAAATCAAGAATGTGAAAGAGTGCTGGGTGACTGGGGACAGACCACACGACTCATTTGTTTTGGAATATTAGTGGATTGGACAGAAAGCTGAGGAACAGAAGGTTTCAACAGTTAAAAAAGGTACATCTTTCAGACATGACTGGAAAGCTCAATGAGGGATTGATGTTGATAAAGACTCCCATCTTTCCAGTGGGAAAAATTATTCGAGCATGACACTTTAATCATGCGAGTTTACCAAAAAGAAACCATGATTTGCATGTTGTATTAATACCTTCAAAATTCAGAGAAAAGATTGTTAAAATACTGGTAGATTGATGTTTCTTTCATGACAAGGCAATACATATATGCAACTCCAACATAAGCTTTCCAAAGATATATGCGTACCATTTGCAAAGATTTGGTTTTGACAGCATGATCTTTATTTTAGCGGGCAAATTATATATTGTTGATTAAAATTTAACTAATATGCATGTTATGATGTTAATGGTATTAGTGAATTGCATCCAAACCACAGAGACTTGCGTCCTTTTAGGCAGAGTTTCTACCTTTTTTTAAAAAAAAAGGAAAATTTGGAAAAAGATATTTTTGGTTAATTTTTTCTAAAAACTCTTTTTAGTGGAGTGAAGCACTTCTAAAAAAATTATTCAAGTCCCTGTTTGGTTTGAATTAAAATCTCAAATCAAAATCAATAATTAAATTTAACCACACATTTCATTGGACTCTGAATTTTTCAACCATATATTTCATTAAATTTTATCAAAATTTATTAAAAATTTGATTTTAATCTACGTCAAGAAAGTTCTAAATATATTAAAAAGAAGTTTCTTAGTCTCATAATTAACTTTTGACTTTTTAAAATTGCAGTCAAATGAACCCTTAGCTCCCGTTTGAGCCCCATTAAATTACATTTCATTACATTTTATTTTTCTCTCTCCTATTTTCAACCGCACAGTCTTTTATAAAATAATATTACATGTAAATCGAAAATTTTTCTTTCTTTTTCAACCTCTCATTTTAAAAAAAAATACTATTTCCCCCATTTTCATTACCCAAAAATGGGGATCAAACAGGGGCTCAATAATATCACTCTTTCGTGGTATATATTGCTGGTAAATAGTGACTAATAATGTTTTGTCAAATCAAATAAAATAAAAAAAACTTTTATAAATATATTTTTGGTACCCCTTGCAACTGAAAGTCACATTTTCTTTATAGCAGAAAGAAAAGGTCCAAAGGAATGTGTGGTATTGAATTATTTTGCGCATTTGAGTTTATTGGAGTGACTGTTTTAGTCATTATTTGATTTGACGCACACAACGAACGAGTAATAAGTTGTAGTAACCAATCCTAAAATCCTTAAAAGCGTGATTGTGAATCGCTATTTCGGGCTTTTCTGGGATTTTGTCAAAAAAATCATCATTAGGGTGGCATTACTTATTTGCATTAACTTCTTTTTAAATTATTTTATTTTATTTTTGTCAATGCAAAGCAGGCTTATGAGGGAATAATTTCGATCTATAATTTATGTTGATTAAAATGTGCTTTCTTGGTTAGTCTTTTAAATGCTTATAAGGTGGTTAAACTTTTTTTTTTTTTTAATCTACACATTAATTCTTATGATTTATAATTCTTACCCACTTTTAACCATATAATCCTTAGGACTCACTATTTATAAGCATTTGTAAGAGTAATCAAACAAGCAAAATCTTTATTATTTGGAATTTAAAAGTGGCATCTCGATTAGAGTGTTGCAATAATTTCGAAGGCTTTATACCATTCTCATAGACGACGACTTTCAAAATATTATACTGAAAACTCTCATAAAAAAAGTTTTTAAATTCTTAATCAGAGTTTTCGATTCTTGATATGAAGATATCAAATGAGCCAAAAAATTGCGAAATTGCAAAATTGTTCCCCTTCCATAATACTTTTTTTATGTATCACTACAAGAAATTTATACTTTCCCTACAAAATTTTCATTGACAAATTGAGTTGTGCTACATCTCTTGTGTGCATTTGTGTTATATCTCTTGCAAAATTTCATTTTATGACTTGCTTTATATATCTTGTGAATTGTGTTTATGTTTGTAGGATGAGGTGCTTGTCAAAAAGTATGAATATCTTGTACAGAAGACAAAGGAGCACCAACTTCCTGAAGATATCCTTTGGAGGAGATACCAGTAGATAATCCTGATGTTGAAATTAATATCATGATGTCTGTTTTAGGTATGAAACTTGGACGTCGAATTCGTGGGTTGGGAGATGGTCGCGTTAGAGACATTTGCACATCTTCTTTTAATGTACATAATTTGGAGAAAGAGTTAGAAACAGAACACGTTGCTCGAAAGGCAGCTGATGCAACTTTAGTGGAGATGGAGCAAAGGATGCAAAATAAGATGAAGGTTGTTGAGAAACAATTCAATTCTACATTGCAATCTTGACATCATTCTATGCACCAGTTATGTGGTAAAGTTCTTGGCTTTGTTGTGCCCCCATTTACACCATTATCAATAGCGAATAATGCTGATGATAAAGATGATGCTGTTGAGGACGAAGAGAATAACTTTGGTGATGATCAGTCGCATATCTGATTCACAAGGATGAAGAGTTATTTTGTTAGGTGCATAATAATAGATATAGAAATGTTTGCTGTACTCATTACTCTTTTTAAGTTTTAATTTAATCATACTTGGTGAATGAATTTTATTTGTGTTTTGATAAAATATTTTGGATTCAATGTTATATTGATTGACACTACAAGTCTTAATTAATTTATTGTCGTTTTGTATCTTTATATTATTTTGAATGCGCTAAAAAATAATTGTAATATAAATAACAAATAAAATATAAAAAATATAATTTAGTTTCTCCCTATGAATTGTTTCGTAATAGCCTACACATAAGCTTTCCCTACAAAAATTCTTTATAGAGAAAAAAAGGGTTTAATCCACAAAATAATCTGTTATCCTGTCGTCACAAATTCTTAATTGTTGGGAAAAATGTATCTTAGCCTACAAATATTCTTTCCACACAAAAAAATATTTATAGGGGAAAACACGATTTAGCCCACAATATAATTTGTGGAGAAAAGCGAAACCTTTTCATGGGCAAACGTAATTTTAGCAGACGAATAATTTTGTCGGCAAAAACTTTACGCGATGAATTATATTTGTCTCCAAAGGGTTCGTAGCGAAAAACCTTAGCCCACAAATTTAAAAATTTTGTCGCCTTTTACCTATCCCCTCTATATTTGCTCCACAAATGTGCCTACAAATTTATTTCGTCTGCAAATATTTTTTCCCACAAATACGAACCTTTCCCTACAAAAAAAAGTTGCAGGGAAAACATAAAATTCTTGTAGTGTATAGTCTTTGGCAAGGGCTTCTGAATTCAATAGTTTTAATAGTCTCTCTCGATCGATTATAAATTCTTTTTTTTTAAGAAGTAAGGAAACATATAATTTTAAATTATAAGGCGATCTCAAGATAAGACAAACTCACTCTGCTAGCTAGGGACAAAAGTCTAGCAAAATATTTAGGGTGAATTATTTCTGAAAGTATATTACCTTTAATAAAATGAATTTATTATGAATAATTTCTTAATTATATTAAAGACAGACAGATTCCGAGACAATATTTAGGGTGTAATTAGTAGGCTAATGTTATTTTATTATTAACCTAATTCAATCATATCGTAATCCCAGTCTTGAAATAAAGTAATAATTACATATTATATATTCATCGCATGCTATGTCCTTTTCTAATGTCGTTCAATAGCTTTCTAGCTTAGTTCCTCTCTATTGTTTATTAATTTATCTCGACTTGTAATTCATATTGAAGATCTACGGTCCTCATCTCGTTCTGTCATTGGATATCCCTAATTAAAATTTTACATAATTTTGATGCGTCAAAATTTAATTTTCATTACTAGTTACATGTGTGAATTATCTTTTGTTAAAATTTTTATATTATAGTGATTTGTCAACATTTGATAATTAAAGGTATACAATGAGCCAATAAGATGGAGCCAACCAATCTAAACTCCGTAAATAACCTTCAGATATTTGAGCACGAGAAAGAGTTTAAACTTCATTAAATGGTCACTCAGTTCCTACAAAAGTGTGTCTCACTTCAAATTTAGTAACTGCAGCTCTCAAATTGTGAAACTAAACTTTTAGTTTAATAATGTTGCACATATTGAGATCACATAATGGGTTAACACAAATTTGAACGATTTCTATCGTCAGAAAATGATTTATAATTATAATAAAATATTGAGGACATTTTGCACTCAAATTAGGAGTAACTAGAAGGAAACTTTAGAATGATCTTTACAAGTCAATCAAAATACAATTAGTATTGTTCTTCTCGTGTTTGTAGTTATATATTGGATATTACTGACTACAATTTCCCGTAGTTCAAGTTTATTTACAATAATTTCATGGGATTTCTCATGAAACCTCGTCCAATAGGTGATATGAAAGGGGAAAAAACATATTTTTTACTATATTTATAATATACATAAACAAAATATTTATATATAATTTTGGGTTAGTATAAAAAGTAAAATTGTTGGGCAGATCCATAGATTCGATCATGATGACAAAAGTCTTGAATTCTTTCTCCTTTATAATGACATTAAATTTATATGCTGGCATGCATCGAATCAAGATAAGGCAGGTAACATCAGCCCCCAACAAATTTTTTCTCCTTCACAATTATAAAAAATAATTTAACTTTATTCTTAATAAATTTGATAAAGATTGCATAAATTTGGTCACATTTTAGATGAAATTATTTGTCTTTAAATCTCGATCATATCTACGATGTTTAAAAAGGTAACTATAATATCATTACACAATTTATTTACTGCACCACATTATAACTATACTACAATCAAAATATAATTTAATAAGCACACCAAAATAAATTTACAATTACACTCCTAATTCAATAAAAGCTAAAAATGGGAAAAAAATAATACGTTTTTTGGAGTACTCATCATGTCAATATCACTCTTTTTTTCATCCATTTTGAATTAATTGAAGACACAAAATTGACTGTGAAATCGTACTATCTCTCTCAAAAGTTTTGGAAAATACAAACTTGACTATGTAATAAATATATTAAAACGTCAGTTCTATACTTTTTTTTTTTTTTATGTAGGTTAATGAATTTTAATCATCACAATAGAAAATTAATTTTCTTTTAAAGATTAAAATCATGTAAATAAAGATTTTAGTGATCTTGGAATCATTGGATTATAAAATCCTCACACATAGAAAGGGGAGATGATAACCTTTTGAAAGAGCTATTAATGCCTAGCCAATTGCTTCCTCCTTTAGATCTTCTCCCTTGTTCTCCACTAGGTGTATT